AACAACAACTCTTCAGCATGATGCCAGCTCTCACTTTGGGGGGAAAAAAAAAATTAAAAAATCACATTAACTTTTTCAAATGCAAATAAAATTTTTCACTTTTATTACCAGAAATAAAGAGTAAATTTTAGACAACTGTGAATAAGAGAAGCCTGAAAACATGACTAAGATGCACCTTAAAACTGAAAAGTAAACTTTCCCCTAAATCAAATATAATGGGCTCAAAGACCGTGGAATGCTATTTAATATATTTCAGGATGAGAGCTTAGGGTTGGAAGGAGCACAAGTATCTTAATGAAAAATGGTGGTTTTTTTTTTTCATTTCTGATTCTTCGAAATAAGAAAAAGGAATCTGCTACATCCCCAGCAGATATGGGAACAGGATGGGTGATCTCTGTTTCCCAGTATTCTGAAGATGACTGACAAGGTGTGAATTACTGTGCATATAAGAAGTAAGGTCTTTCAAAAGCCAAGTAAATTGAAATTCTTGGAAGATGGAGACCAAGAAATACATCACCTTGCAGTCTGGAATAATGAAGGCTAATATATCGATAACACAGCATAATTCTTTTATTTAATAACTATTATACACGGTACCATTCAATACCAAAATAATTAGCACTAATATTACTAGTGCTGCATGCCATTCTGCAGTACATGGATAGTACTGCTGAGTGTCTGCCCTCTCTTAGCCTCAGCAAGGGTTTCCTGTGCAGCTTTTCAACCCCAGATGCTAAAAGAGGAAGCTGGAGATGCAGTCGCTCATTGTCAGGCAGTGGGCAAAGCACAGCTCGTGAGAGCCACCTCACATGCTGGAGTTGGAAGAGGTGTGCCAGATCCAGAACTGGCTGCACTCAGGTACACGGGTACATGGTCTGTATTCCAGTGGAAGCTGAATAAAGCTCTCTCTGTCCACTTTACTACATAAAGGAAGACTGAAATAAAGTTAGTGAGCAGAATAAGAGCCCTGCTTTCACTGCAGGCTATCTAAATCTCACTGGCACCTTATCCAAAAGTGAAAATAATATCATACCAGTTATTGATATTTTTGGGTACCAACGCCTTCAGAGGAGCAAATGGCACTGCTCATCACTATTCTGCTGACCCCTGTCTCCTCCTGTTATTGATCACAGCTTCTCCCTCAGGCAGAGAGCCAGCAAATTATCACTTTGAATAAAGAGTTGAGGCCAAAGGTAAGGAAAAGGAATGAAGAGCTGTATAAGAAAGGAAGATTAATGGCAACAGTAGGCACACTGGGAGAACAGCAGTTGGGTCAGTGTGTTTTCATGTCTAGTTAGGGAAAGGTCAGAGAAATGGACTTCATTTAGAACTGTGGATAGAGAAGAAAAAAAGGCTTTGCATGATAGTGCTCCTAGAAATTCTCTCTTCCAATCCCTCATCTTTTACATGGAGGCAAGCATATCATCCTAATCAAAATACAATAACTGAAATACAATAACCAAAATACAATTGTATACAAAAGAGCAATCACACTTGCATTATGAGTTATTCTCTAAACAAATATAACCTTGGAGATGCAAATCACATGCAGTTGAGGAGTGCAGAAAAAGGGGAAGCGGTCTGTTCTCTAGGAAAAATTGACCCTGTCTTCACATCTTGTGATTGCACTATGAGAAATCATTTTCTTATTCTGCCACCATATTTTGAGCTTGTTTAGTCTCTAGGAACTACACAGCACGGATAACATTTTGGCAGCTCCTACCTATGTTGTGTGTTAGACAAACTCATACATGTGTTTTTAACCAACAATTTAAACGACTCAGTTTACACATTTCCTAATAACCTTGATAACACTCGACTAGAGACTACAGCCAACCCTAATTCAGCTGAACCAGCAGTTATTCTCAGATCAGACAAAGCCATGTGAGAGACATGAAGACTTCCCTGATGGGTCAGGAAGCTCTTCCGAAGTCTCGAGTTAGCTCTCAGCTAACTGAACTCTTTATCTAAACATGTTGGTGGAAGAAAGCACATTTCGAGAGTTACTCTCCTGTGCTGGGAAGACCACAAGATTTTATCTATGGTTCCTGAAACAGAATAGGGCGGGGAATTGAGGTGATCCCCAAATACAACTCCATTGTGTTTAATGCAGGTTAAGGCGCAGCTCATTATCTATAAAGTATAACACCTTTCGTAAAATAGATAAGGCACGCATTCAGCTGGTTCTGTGCATCAATATGCCCTTCTTTCTCTGGACACAAGAAATCCTGGAACTGCTCTAATGCAAGGGGCTGATTCATCCCAGAAGCATTCCTTTTTCTTATTTACTGGTTATGCTTTGACTGAAGAAAAAAAAAAAAAAAAAGCAGCAGGGTTTGCAGTTTTAACAGGAAATAAATGAAAACTAGAAAACAAACACACCACAGTCAAGCTGAGGATTAAAAAATAACTACACACTGCCCTCTGGCTCATGTACTGCTACCACAGAGAGCTTGCCTGTAATCATCACTGCAGACTGCTGGGACTGAGAACAGGTCAGTTATCAAAAGTTCTCCTAAGCCAATTTGATACAGTTAGTACTTGCAGGCAAAATTAATACCTACATCACCTGATGGCGGAGCTGGCCGACCTGATGGAGGGGACGGGAGAATCCAGATTGCAGAGTCTTGCCCCTGATTCAGCAGGGAATCAGTTATAGCGCCAGAACTAACACTACAAGTATCAAAATCGGTTTTGGAGATGTTCTCACAAAGATAATGGATGTTAAATAAGCAACAATTTTCTCTGATGAGAACGCTGTAGCCCCCAGCGAGGCACACCATTCATGCACTAGACCAATACACTGAAAAGAAAATGAAATTGCTGTTTACAGTATGTAAGCCCACAATTTCTATTGACAAATTGTCGAGGAGTGACAGTCCTATATTGCCTTACCGCATTTCAATGCACCAGAGCGCCTTACAGCAAAGCTCTGCTTTGCTATAATTGGGCTCAACTGTGCTAATCCCCTTGGCATGCAGCAATTAATACTTATTTAGTGATAATTGCTGCATTCCGAGGGGATTAGTCCCTGCCCTGCACTTTTGCCAGCATTGCACACAGAGAGCTGGAAAGAAGACAGTGCCTAGCTACGGGTCTTGCTTTGCAGCTCCCAACAGGGAGACAAGAGAAGTTGGTCTCACTATATCTGCTCCCCTCTGTGTGTGAAAATACTGCTTTTCCAAGGAAAAAAAAAAAAAAAGCTTGACTGTCACTGCTCCTTGCAGCTGCATTGTGCAAATAGAAACCCTGCCACATCTAAAGAGAAAAAAGAAAAAGAAAACAGGCACCTGTGCAGCATCATGAAGACAAACACAGACATGAGCGTATGTTTCCTATGGGAGATGATAAAGAGGCCCTGATACAGTGTAAGAATGAATTCCTATTCATTATTTTGTTTCTTGTATCTAGAAGAGCCCTGTTCCTGCTATGGTTTAAAAATTTTCAGTGCAACATTAGTTTTGGAAACCTATAAAGGAGATGTTAGTAAAAAGTTGAAATGCACCCTCTCTGTATACTCACTGAGACTACTGAATATACTGTGCCTGATTCTTTCATACTCAGAGAAGTCCTTATGATCTGCTCTAGATTTCTATTTTTTTTCATGCACATGAACAACTACTGCTTATGTCTTATCTTCAAAACAAAGCCCAGTGCCTCTTCTTTGAGCTAGTCAAGCTACTGTCTCACATCACTAATACTTTCATGTGTAAATTTCAGGTTAATTTCCCTAATGACAGTACAGTAGATATTAAAAATAAAATAAAATAAAATAAATTATAAAGCAGCCTTAGTATTTTCTTGAATGCCTGTGAACACTGTAATTGATCACTAAGATGATGTCTTCATGAATGTAAAGGCACTATGAAGCTAGAGATCAGAACCAGAGATAAGTATCTTTATTTCCTGCATTTTGTTCAAAGGCTCATCTGGGGGAAAACTTACTTATATGAACTGAAAATCATTTAAGCATTTAAAAGAAATCAAAAATCCAATTCACACTCGTTAGACAAGCTTTTCTTTTCATAAGTGTCACTGTGAAAGAGCTATGCAAAATTCTTAGTCATACTGTATGTTTTGAGCAATTATTTCTCTATTCTTATCCCTAAACAAGTGCTTGATTTCAATCTAGAAACAGTAACTTGTTAATACTAGTTAATTTAATTAGTTAATAACTAGTTAATTGATAAGTTGAATCGATGTAAGATTCTAGAAATGCAAAGTATCTTCCTTTTTTTCCCCCACATAAATACTCACACATATGCAATTAAATACTACCTAGTATCTCTTGAACGTCTGTATCTTCCGTGTTTGCACGCATATACACTAAGCCTCTACACAGCTTTGTCAAGTTACCCTGTGTTTGTGACTATCACACAGATAGGTATAAAATGGGCCCTTATGAGTCCCTTCCAGCTTGGGACATTCTATGATTCTGCTGAGCTCTCGGTCACCTGGCTTCAAGTCCGGATCCAAGTGGTGGATGTTCCAAGGTGTTCTACACTCACCTCAATTTCCTTTACTAGAGCTTTTAAGTTCAAAAACCTTTAAACTATTTCCATGGATATTGTTTTTGACTACTTCATAGCACAAAATGATCACAAAATAGGAAAAAAAAAAAAAGATGAAAGGTTCTGGTTTTTAGCAGCTAGTAGTCCACTGCGTTCGTAATGCAAAGCAGTGTAGAAAAGGAGTTTGTTAGTATTGTGACACAGTCATAGCCTTTTCCAGGATTTCTGAGTTAAGAAGAATTTAATAACTAATTTCAATGTTAAACGTTTAGCAATCGATAGGATTGTAAGTCTATGGCACCCTCTTGTGTTCAGCAATAATACAACAGTTGACTAAATTTTAAATCTTCGTAAACTAAAAAAAAAAAGAACAGTATCATAATATTAAGTTATAATTAATATTTCTTGCATTAATCTGATACCCTTGTTAATGTTATTTTACTGTGACAATCGGAGATATACTATTAAATAGCTAAAAATTAATCTCAGATAGAACTAAATAAGGGATTAATCTGCTCTATAATGATATAGAGCCTCACAACAATCATAACATCGATATGCAAGATCAGTAGACAAAGGAAACACAATACTACATTATTAGAGTGTGTGCTAAGATTATCCTAATTAAATTCTTGGCTAACAAACATCCTGTGACTTAGTGAGTTGCCCAAAGTTATCCTGTGCCATTGATCATCAATGAATAGAGATACTTTACTTCCTGAATATGCAGAATGAAGTCATTATTATTTAGAATATGCTCGGAAAGTTCAAGCATGGTAGAGACATATGATCAAAAGTTAATTCATTTACAGCTATATTAATTTCTTACACTCAGCCTCATCTATTCTAAGCCACAATGTTATTTCCAGATACTACAAAAAAAAATACGCTCAAAAGTAAATTCCTTAATGAGTCTAATACAAATATTAGCACATGGAGAAGATGAAAAACAGGAGAAGAAGTTGATAATTTTCTTAAGGTAAAATCTTGTGTTACGTTAACATTTACCTGCCTGTTACTAAGGGAGAAAAATGGACAGATGTTTAGTATGACTTCTAGTCTGCATCATATTCCACTTCTACATACAGAAGTTTTTTTAGCTAAGTGTTTGAGGAGATACATCAATATAACAATTGCAGACAGTATTTTTCCTATTAATCCTCAAATCCAACTTGGAACATCTAGATCAACCATTCTGTTGTTTGTCACTTTCCAGAAGTAGTGCACGGCTGAGATGCTCTCAAGTTTCAAATGCAAGGAAGGTTGGATGATCTAAAACTGTTCTAATAAAATGCAGTAGCACCACAGAACTATTTCAAACCAGTTGTTACCAAAATTACCCCCTTAATAGGACAAGGGGAATGGTTTTAAACTGAGACAGGGGAGGGTTAGGTTAGATATTAGGAGGAAGTAGGCTGGTGACGCACTGGAACAGGCTGCCCAAGGAGGCTGTGGATGCCCCATCCCTGGAGGCATTCAAGGCCAGGCTGGATGTGGCTCTGGGCAGCCTGGTCTGCTGGTTGGTGACCCTGCACATAGCAGGGGGGTTGAAACTAGGTGATCTTTGTGGTTCTTTTCAACCCAGGCCATTCTATGAAAATAAGCCTCCAATCCAAAATCAGAAAATAATGAGGAGTTTATACAAATGGGAGTATCAAATCTGGAAATATAACCAATACAAGGGGGAAAAAATGCTTGAATCCATTTAATCAAGGATTCAGTACAGAAGTGATTCTATTAATAGTGAGGCTGGACTATTAGACATCCACATTTTATTAACAGCTAAAATAACAGTGAGAATCCTCACTTGAAAACACCACCTTAGGTTTAGAACAACACTAAAGTACATACCATGCCTTGTTCAAACACATATATTTATGTGTATATTGAGGAGACCTATTAATATTTGCACAACATTTGCAGAACATATAAGAGTAAGAAAGTATTGGTACAAAAGGTAACTGCTGCAGTCATTTATGAAAGTAGAAGCCTCAGCCAAAGACAGCTCCAGTGTTATTCTTTTATGATTTATTTCACAGTATTGCAAAAAAGAAAGTGAAACACAAAGATGCTTATTTCAACCAAAAAGGAAATAGAATGGTTTCACCATGTATACTTCAGCAAGGATAAATGACTCCTGAGTGACAACAAAACAAGAACCCTGAAATAAGTGTGCTCATATGAAAGTGTAAGGGAGATAAATAATTTCAAATGTGCAATAAATAAAACCAAGAACATTTTTCATAAAAATATTTTAATTTTATCAAAAGCCCAGCATTACCAGTCTCATACAACAGAAGTTATGGAGTGATAGGTAATACATTCATGTGTCCCCATCGAAAGGATCAGTATACCATAAAATAATTTGAATTTTCACAATTGTTATGTTTTATATAAAAATATTTCCACTATCATATTTAATTTTAATGTTATCTAATCATCATAAATTGTTTCCACATCTTCAGGGTTTTTTTTATTATCCCACACAGTAGCACACAATGTGTTTAATACAGTAAAATGCACACTTTTTTCCCCTTCACGTAGAAGGAAAACTTTATAACTTACTTCAAAAGTGCTTCCATAAATCTTTCCCATACAAGATGAGCAGTAGTATAATGATGCAATAACTATATAGAGATAATTGGAAGTGATCAATTTCACTATTCTACTATATGGATCTACCTCTAAGGATTCTGCATTTTCACATTCTTCACTATGTCGAGCAGGTAATATTGGCTTGGGGTAAAATAAATTAATTGTTCGTAATCACTTTTGAATATTTGTGAGCTACGCACGTGGGAGATGTGACAGCATATAAAAAGATGTTCTACTTTTTTTTGTGTAGGGCTTATTTTATGAAACAGAATTAAACTTTCAACACTTTTCATTACTTTTCATTCTCTACAGTTGACAAATCATCTGTTGCGTACTGTATTAGCTTCTTTCTCACTCTCAGATTACAGACTTAAAATTGCTGTATTAGGCTTCCAAAACAAAAACATCTACCAAATTCTACTACTGAAAGTAGTAAAAGCTGCTACATTGTCGTTTGATCAGAGTGCAAAGCCAAAGATTTCAAAATTCAAGTCAGTAAACATCTTCTTTTTGTATCAGTCTCATTGGATTTACAAGCCACTATTCTTCATGTACCACAGCCAGGTACTTTCACTACTACTATTACTTTTTTAAAAGAATCATGGCATATAACCACTACTAGACAAAGACTTACCAAGAACTCACCATGAGCCTGAAGTACACATACAATTTCCATAAATCCAATCAGGGTTAGCAGAAAAACATGGTTAACAGAAAAACAGCTCAAATTGTGAGTGTACAGGTGTTGAAAGAAAAATTTGGAACTCAATATATCATCTGTCGTTGCAGTATAAGCAAGGCTTTCCAGTCTACAGTCAGCTGAGCCACCTGTAGTGCTGTGTCAGATAAAGTGGTATTTTTAATACCACTGCCAAGTGAAGTGGTTTTAAAAAGAATTGGAGAGTGCCTACAAACAGAAATGATTTAACTAAGGCACTGAAAGTTTAGAACCAGACTAATCCTTTACTTTCTGGTAAACACAGCATTATGGACTATTAAGAGAAATAACACTCCAGGTTTGTGTCCACTGAACAACATTTAGTTATGGCTTATGCACAAAGGATTTTGAGCATGGCATGATTCAATCTATTAGTGTGAATTTACAAGTGCTTCAGAAGGATTACACCAGCTTATTAACAATGCAAGGTGTAAGAATTTTTTGCATTAACTTAGCTCTACTACACATAGAAAATCTTTCATGGAGCAGTCATCCAAAGTAATCCATTTGTACTGTCAGCATCACCAAGGATCTTCTTCTGCCTACAGGAACAAAAGTGAAATAGTATGTGTGTTTGTTGACTGTGCTAAAATGTATCTGACAACATATATAGTATATATTTTTTGTATTTATTAATTATTAATATATTATACTTCAGTATCATGACAAAAAATTCAAAACCAATGAGTTATTGCTACAATCCTGTTGATAGAGCTTCACAAATGCTTAACAGTCTATGTTTAACTATTAGACCAAAACCTAACTTGCCTTGCAATTATCCCAAATAGAGGATAGTGACTGTGCTTACTCTGCAAGAGTTATCCCAAGAAACCTCTTTTAAGCTGAAGTGCAGTTATCCATAGAGAGTTAATTATAGATACTATGCTTGTTTTCCTTAGGTAGGTGGGTCCCCAATCAAACATATCTTACAATTTGAGATACTGCATCCAGTAGACTATTTATGGAAATAAGAAAAATGTATATTAAAAAAGCAGAGATGAGTAATACACATTGTTAATAAGAAACGTTACAGCTTCCAAATATAGTGCAAACTTAAGTACTTACAAAGGCTTGACATTGAAATATTCTTCTGGTGTCACAATTTTCAGTCCACCGAAGTAGTCCAGAACCCAAATATTGGTGATGTTGAATTTGGCAAAGAACCAGTTATGATCCTTAGGCCAACCTTCCATCTCAGGGTGCCGAGTGAATAACGCCTTTTTCGCTAAGGCTGCTTCTGAATCATTCACCTGAACAACAGCCAGCAAAATATCAAGACAGAGACAAGGAAGACAAATATTATCTAAAACACACTTCTGACTATAGAGTGCTCTTCTTCATTTAGCCATATTTTGCCCCAAGGTGCTCATTACTGTGGCAGAATCTACTTACCTTCAGGATGGTGTACATGAGACAGGCAAATACTCCAAGGGAGTTGCTTTCAATACTAAATCAGAAGGGTGTTTTAAAGTAAGCAAGAGCAAGAAAGTACTTCATTGACATTAGATGAAGTCTTTCTACTGTTCTCTAGAGGAGTATGCAGGCTGACAGATTTGAAAAAAAGTATTGATCCCGCTCTGATGTAAACACTCTATCCACCCTGACACTGATCTGTCTAAAGACAACTGGATAAAACCACTCCCTACACTGTGGACAAAGAAAAACTTTATTTTAGAGATGAAAATTATCCAAGTTCACAGACATCTGTTAAAGTATCTTAAGTAGATACTTAAAGTTCTTACTAGAGAGACAGTGAATAAATAGTAGAATAATGAGGTACAAAGCTTTGCTTTTGTTATTAAAAGACAACAGAATGATGTTGGTATGAATTAAGACATCAGCTTTTACTTTTTAACAGAAAACCAAATAGGTATGTTAACTATCCATTTTCAGAATGAAATCTCCATGTGAAATTGTTTCTTGAAGCATTGTCTGAATTCTAGCTTTCAGTATGTAATCTGGAATGATGTTTTTGGAGACAGATTTTTTTTTTTTCCAGATTTTCTCCATGTTCTTCAAGATTTAAAGTGTGCACAACCTGACTGGACAAAAGCCAGGGAGAAAAAATTAAGTGTCTTTGGCATTAATACTTAAGTGGGATTGATATTCCATGAAGAACAAAAACTGAATAAGAGCCTAAAACCAAGGCTGGAAAGTGTTTTGTTTTCGATCCTAGTAATGATAGATTTGTAATGATATGTAAATTATCAAATTAGATATGATTCTTCAAATCAGTAAGCAGCAACAATATACACCATGATCTTCGATGTTATTTGGAACAGCAAAAAAAAAAAAATCACAAAACAGAGAAGTATCCCTGCTGCGTTATGAGAAGACCATGTTTTAGGTGTAATTTTACCTCCTCTACACCTGCTCAGTCAGGGATACCCACAAACCAGTGTTTGGATGCATTCAAGCACACACACACACACACATACCATGAAATAACAAAATCTACAAGAGAAAGGAAGCTAAAACCTGTGACTACTTGATGTGCAAATGTTTAAAGGGTCAGATCAGCAAGAGTTCTGGATACAGTACAAAAGCATTTAGAATAAATGGTACTGGAATTAAAGTAGTTCCAGTATTGATGACAAACTTCATGAAGGCAATTCAAGGATTGCAATGTGATCTGAAGTATGAAAACACAAATATAAATTCAGGCTATCACATAAAAGACACCAGTGATTAGTCCCCATCCGCACCAATTACCCTTAATAATGGGATTAAGATCTACTATAAATAACACACGCAGTTCTAAATTCCTTCTACGGCAGCAACAGCACCAGGTGAGACAGTAAACTTTTTCTATGGCTAATGCTTGTAGCTTTACAACTTGGATTAATATGTACTTCAATAAAGTTTGAGTCATGCATGTATCAAAGCAGCTGTGCCACAGTCCTGTTTTAGTCTGTGCTGTTAGGGAACTGCTTCTCATACTTTGCTACAAAGGTCAGAGAAACTGGATTTGTAAATTGTACATGACCCAAATTGCTAAACTGTGGTAAACCTTCAGCTGTCAAAGCACCACAGCTTCAACACACGTGCCATATGAAGAGGTACTTGTGGACGGATGTCATGTGAGAAGCATGCATGGTGAGAAAGAAGCCTTGATTGCAGCCCTGAACATGTAACATAACACCTTCCGTTAATATGGGTAAAGCTAAAGGAAAACTCTTGGCATATCAACTTCTGGGAGATTGAAAGTCTGCCTGTGGCTTTTGGGGTTTGGCTAGAAGGGCTCTGGGATGTTGAGGTGATCCTACTGCAAACAGAACTCTTGGAGAAAAGGCTTTTGCAGTATTCATAGGAGGGCTCACCCTTTCTTTTCTGTAAGGCTGATCTTTCGCAGATTCCATCCGAGGAGAATATTCTATTCTCGGCATTGTTACCTGGATGATTTTAGCTGTAAATTCACCTTTGCATACCGCTGGATCTTGGGCTAGCAACAGACCCATTGAGCTCTGTCAGAGACTTGAATGTGGAAAAGAACCAAGAAGGCTGGCCATGGCACACTTCGTGCTTTGTTGCACTCCTGTTCTACTCCTTCATTTGCACCAGGCATGCTGCAAGGTGCAAGAATAACAGAGAATATTTCTCGAACGGGCTCGAAATCAATATCTGAAGTATAGAAAGCTCTCTGCTTGGTCTGGTCTGGTTTTCAGTCTAGACCTAACTGATCACAATCATAGAATCACAAGGTTGGAAAGGACCTACAAGATCATCTAGTCCAACTGTCCTCCCATCACCATTGCTACCACAAGCTACTAAACCATATCTTGTAGCTCTTCATCCAGATGCCTCTTGAACGCTTCTAGGGATGGTGACTCCACCACCTCCCTAGGCAGGCCATTCCAGTGCCTGACCACACTTTTATAAGACATGAGCAAAGCATGAACTTGGACATTTTCATCGTGGACATTTCAGTTTCCAAACAGATCCAGCGCAAACTTCCCTTACCTACAGCTTACCTTTACAATGCTCCCACAGAAGATGATGTGGGCGCAGAGGGGATTCTGAGGATCATATCTGTGCTTCTTGCAGTATGGAGTCTGTGCCAAAGACACAGTTAGGGAGGCATTTGAATTGATCTGAAAAGCAGACGGTAAGATAAGAGGGCTGTGTACCTTCACGAGAACAAGTTATATCACATTTTCAGTTTTCTGAGGAAGTTGCTTAACTGCGAAGAGCGCTGACTCACCATTAGTCAGCACTATCCGCTATCAGCTGCCTCCCTCCACGTGACCGCCCCACGGTTGCGCGATAAACTTATGTCAGGAACTCAGTGAAGGAAATGGCTAGCTAACAGCTTACATACCACAGAAATCAGGCTATCAGCACCACTGAGACGCACAAACTATTTTAACGCATCAGAGCAATAGCTGAGCCGCAGACACACGCAGTCGCCCGCTCACCTCCAGGTCCTGCACGGAGATCTCCATGTCTGTCAGATACAGATAGGGGACGCCGCTGCCGCCGCCGGGCCCCGGGACGCCGTCGCTGATGGAGAAGATGTTGGCGAAGGGGCGACCGCGCAGCCCTTCCTGAGCGGAGAGCGTGGCCAGCGCGCCCCAGTCGCAGTTGTGCAACACGAAGCGTGCCATGCGCGCCGCCTCCTCGGGCGGAGGGATGGATCCGCGGGCCGACACTGCCAGCGCGGCCGCGCACAGGAGCGCCAACAACACCATGGCGCACCGCAGCAGCCACCGACGCCACAGTCTATCGCGAGCTACGCGGCGACGGACTGCAACCCGGCGCGAGGTGGAGCGCGTCACTCTGCTCTCCGCCAATCGAAGCCAATTTGCTCGACTCTCAGCCAATGGGAGATGACGGGAGGCGGGGCCGAGCGCGTCGGCTGCCGGAGGTGGTAAACAACTCTGACAGCCCAGGCTCGCCGTCTGGAGGAGCGGGGAGGGGGGTGGGACCACGGTGATCCGACAGCCAATGAAAGGCCTCGCCGGAACTTTCTGCCAATCACATTTACGAGATGCGGAGGGGCGCCTCGCTCCGCTTCAATCTTAATCGAGTGTGTCTACGCTGTGAGTGGGGCAGCCTGTGGTAGAGAAACCGACATTGACTCAATGCCACAGTTACCGGGTTTGCGGGAGCATCAACTGAGGTCAGCAGCAAAAAATGACAAGTTTCTATACTTCAGATATTGATTTCGAGCCCGTTCGAGAAATATTCTCTGTTATTCTTGCACCTTGCAGCATGCCTGGTGCAAATGAAGGAGTAGAACAGGAGTGCAACAAAGCACGAAGTGTGCCATGGCCAGCCTTCTTGGTTCTTTTCCACATTCAAGTCTCTGACAGAGCTCAATGGGTCTGTTGCTAGCCCAAGATCCAGCGGTATGCAAAGGTGAATTTACAGCTAAAATCATCCAGGTAACAATGCCGAGAATAGAATATTCTCCTCGGATGGAATCTGCGAAAGATCAGCCTTACAGAAAAGAAAGGGTGAGCCCTCCTATGAATACTGCAAAAGCCTTTTCTCCAAGAGTTCTGTTTGCAGTAGGATCACCTCAACATCCCAGAGCCCTTCTAGCCAAACCCCAAAAGCCACAGGCAGACTTTCAATCTCCCAGAAGTTGATATGCCAAGAGTTTTCCTTTAGCTTTACCCATATTAACGGAAGGTGTTATGTTACATGTTCAGGGCTGCAATCAAGGCTTCTTTCTCACCATGCATGCTTCTCACATGACATCCGTCCACAAGTACCTCTTCATATGGCACGTGTGTATCCAGGCACCAGCTGAGGCTGTGGGCACGTGAAAAGGATCCGGCTGTGGGCTGCCAGGCCAATGAACTGACAGGCCTGTGGAAGTGATGCTGTATGCCAGAGGAGTCATTCGTTGGGCTGAACTCAGGTAAGCCATCTCATCTCGAAGAAAAATAAACCGCGGGTCCATTTATGTACTGTCTTGTAGCTGTGTACAGGCAGAATAAAACTGTTTTTCCTTCAGTGTTCCTCTCACTTCCAGGAAGCAGACAGTGGCATCCCTCTAGGGAAATGGAAACGCTGAAACACGGAGTCTTCCACTGCTGCCCTCTCCTGGCAGTGCTCGGGAGAAACCTGCTCTGCCGTAGCACAGCACCCGTGCCTCTGATTTAGAGCAAATTCTATCTCAGGGCAAAGCGCTGAAGAGAAAACACAAGAAAAGAAGCTAGTATGAGGGAAAAGAAGGCTGCCTGAAAGAATGCTTTTATATAGATAGGGCTATGAGCTACATTTGGAGGAGGGGCAAGAGTGAAATTTGTTGAAAAAGACTGCAACTGTTCTGCAGAAGTGAAAATAGTATGGAAAAGAGGGACAAAAATGATCTAGAGTTCCTAATCTGTTTAGTTTAGGATTTACAGATGAGGAACACGTACTGCAACAAGCTCTTTTTCTTAGAGATTTTGCAAGCTGAAGGAGAGATATTTCTTCCTCTTTTTCCACCAACATATATATATGCACTTTTCTTTTTCACAGCAGTTCTGCCTTCTGAGAACTAGAGGGAAGGGTTCATCTTCTCCCCACTGCAGCTAAAGAATCAAGTGGTAGGGGAGGGGGGGGCGGGGAGAATGGGTGCATGGTGATTTTGTTGGGGAACAGGACAGTGTCATAGGGAGCAAATGGGAGGTGGTTGGTGGAGTCAGTACAGGAAAAAAGAGATGTCAGAAAGTGAGAAAGGACAGAAAGGAAAGGAGATAAAAGAGATGATGGAGTTGGGGTTTTTTTTTCGGTTGTTTTTTTTTTTTTTTTCCCTCAAAAAAAGAAAATGCATAAAGGTGGAAGCTTATATGCTACAGAGTTTACATTTATTAGCAGAATGTATTTGCCAAATGTGGCTGTCTGTACATCAGCAGAAGAGTGTACATTACTGGAGGTTCTCCCCAGACAGTACCACTGCACGTGCAAGTTTTTCCTCTCCTGCAGTGTCCTGCAGTGCTCCCTGTGAGCAGCCACAATGGGGAGCTGCTGCCCAACCCTGCTCATAGTGCTTGCAGAGGCCGGCAAGCGCACCTGCTTACAACCCTCTTGGGGGATTTGGGCTACATCCAGTCGGCGTATATCCCTGAGCAGCATTTGTTGACACGAGTAGTGTTGGCTCTCTGTGCTGCAGAGAGCAGGATTTATTAGGCTGAGTACTTTCCACTGTGGGCAATACACACCATCATATAGACTGCCTTGCATACTGCACTGAATGGAGGGGGCTTGTACTTGCCCACTTCTTCTTGGATGGCTGTTGGGTGAATCTGTAGGGTGAAGAAAGCAGTCTTTAACTCCTTTTGCTTGCTCTGAAGCAATGTTATCTGAAGTAAACATCCAGGCCTCTTTCACTTCCTCAGATAGATCTCAGAAAGGAGAAGGATTCTCTCTGTTGTAATGCAGTGTGTCTAGGGGCATCCAGGACCCTTGCATAACAAATTCAGAAAAGTATTGCTAGCCACTAGTTCCCCTTTTCAACTTATGTTCTCGTTTACATCAGCAAAACTGCCAAATAAACAGTAAAATCTTACCATAATTGAGCCAACTTACTCCCTCCAGGTGTTGGCCAGGTAGTGGAAAAACTGTGCTTTTAGTGTAGTTTACATATCATCGGTTGGAGGATATATCTGGGGGCCGTGTCTCTGGAGAAGGTATATTTTAACCAGAAAGTCAGTGAGGTCTCCACCCTGCCCAGTGTTTCATCATGCTCCAGCTGCCCTCTTCATAGCTGCTTTTGCCCCGAGCCAGCTTCACTGAGATAGTATGGTTATTTGATGGGCTGGGCAAGTTTTCTCTTCAGATGAAGCCTAGCTGGGAACTGGGCCAGGCTTCCTGTCTAGATCATGCAGTCTCTCCATGAACAGAAACCTTTCTTTGTGCAGATAACGTTTGCGGGCCATGCAGTCTGGTCCTGAATAGTGCTTGATTTGTGAGCCAGGCCAGCTCTCTGCATCCAAATGACAGCCAGAGTGATTAAAGTTGCTCGCCGCTGCATTTGACAGAAGGCATCGACCTCTGAGTCAGCTCTGGCAAACCTGAAGTACTCAGTGCTTTGAAGCGCCGGCACTGGGTGCCACATGAGTCCCAGCATGCAAATTGTTTCTAAAAATGTTAGTTAGTTATCAACCTAAGGAAACACCAGCCCTGCAGGACAGTGCAGTACAGCTACTGTTAAGAAATTTCACACCATACAGAATTTTACTGAACACAAAAAGGTATTTTGTGCTTGTGCCTAATGCATTTATTCGTTCTTGTCCTCCAAGTTGCCAAATTGCATTTAGTTTCTGCCCCTTTTGTCTGTATATATTTCAAAAGAGAGGTGAAGTGAACATAGCGCTGGCCCACCGTTCAGCAAGAAGTCCTTCTATCTTTTTAACAGCTGCTACACAGAGTGTGGCAAGGCAAGCTTGCTCTGTGTGTAACCTGCTAAGAAGCAGAAATGTTGTTTTGTTTTCAGCCAGAAAATCTTGCTATTGAGTCAGAGCTTGGACTGCCTGCTGAGGAACCTGGTTAGAGGGCAAGTGTGACACTGCTTTCTGTGATGCTGAGATGTGCAGTAGGACTGGCTTGGGAATGATGTAGTAAAAAACATTGTTTTATCCAGCACAGATACCAGAGACCCTGTGTTAGCAACCCTGTTCTGAGTATAACTTTGTGTTTCTATCAGGTCTTGTAGGACATTAGAGCTAATAACGGGTGAAGAACCCTTCAGTCTAGAAACAGGCCAGCAATAGCTGCTGCTGCTATTTGTCACATCGCTGTATTAATAGAATGTGATGCAGCTATGCCATATTGTACCCTGTTAAATTTGTTTTCTAAAGTCAAATGGATCAGCAGTGAAAGTAGAGCTCTCTGAAGAAATTCAAGTGCTGCAAAAGGTGATGCTAGCCTCCTGTACACCCTCACCATTGCTAGGTTGCCTGGTGTAAGTGGGGGTGGTGAACTTCAATGTGATCTTCCTAAGACCAGAACCACGTGGGCAAGGCATTGCAGGTGAAATTCATCCTATAAAACACCATGTTTTTCTAAGTTGCCTCTGTTTAGGGACAGGCTTTTTGACCAGATCCTGGAACTTAAGGAGCTTGACTAATTTGTACAAAACCATGATGTTAACAGTGAGTGTCCCTTATTATCCATGCCCCTTCATTTTAATCAAGTATCTTTGGTAACGGAACATGCCCATTAACCTCAGCTCCCAGGGGTGTATAATGTGTGGCACGTGAGTCTGTGTGTATGAGCGCATGGTCGCACGTGAGCGTGTGTGCGTGTGTGCTCAGATGTGCCTCGCTGCAGCTGCAGAATTAGAGCAAAAAATATCGATAGTACAAAGCGTTCCAACTGACTTCATTTCCTGCCGATAACTCCCTGAAGAGGAGGGTGAGGCTGAGCGTTTGCAGCATTAGTTTAATGGTGAGAGGCGAGGGCAGGGTTAGCAGGAGGAGATATTTCAGAATGCAGCCAGTAGAACGGTGGGTTCAAAAAGCGAGTTTCCCATAGAAAATGCTGTTCACGTTCACTTCCTGTGAGCTTGCTTTTGTCAGAGGAGTTGATGTATGAACCCAGCCCAAAACAGGATGCTGGCTTTTAGAGTTGATTGCTCTTTGAAATGCAAGTTCTTTTTTTTTTTCTTTTTTTTTTTTTTTTTTTTTTTTTTTTTTTTTTTTTCCTGTGGCCACCCCATCCCCTTTATTTTTCAGTTGAGAATTAAATTGCTTGAGAGGAATCAAGAAAGGTTGAGACCTCCGTTTCAGTAGAGTCAAAAACTCAACTGGTAACAGCTGCTGTTTAATTATATAAATTCTGGAGAATGGTGTGGGTATTACCAGCCCACTTTGAACACAGAGATGAACAAAACAATCTCAGATAATGGTACTGACATTCATGTTCTAATAAACTCTAAACAAACATTTTAACCAAAGACAGAGATTCAATCTATCTTGCAGAAACCCACAGCTCCCTCCACCCTCACCTAATTCACCACCCTCACAAACACACCTTCCCAGATTCAGTGCCCACATTGACACACCCAAACTAACCAGCTATGGGGACACAAATACTTGTGACTTCAAGGCCAGACTGGATGGGGCCCTGGGCAGCCTGATCTAGTATTAAATAGGGAGGTTGGTGGCCCTGCTTGTGGCAGGAGGGTTGGAGATTCATGATCCTTGAGGTCCCTTCCAACCCTGGCTATTCTGTGATTCTGTGTGAAATACCTGAGTCGAAATTTCAGTTGCCCTCCAAAGCTTTCCTTCCAGAGTGGCCTCTGAAGAAAGAACTGCCATGTCCCCACATGTCCTTTCTATTGATTTAGTATCATAGAGATGTCCTTACTCCATAATTCATTGCCAAAAAGCAGGAGGTCAGCAATTATTATATATGGCATTGCTAAGCATGGCAGAATTAGTTATACTACGTCTTTTTCAGGCACGCCAGGATGAGTGATTGCATATAGCAGGAGCACCAGTCATTTGGTCTGAAGTGAACTTGCTCTTTTGGCCTCACACGTATCAAAAAGAATCAGCTGGGAAGCTGCAAAACCCCAGGGTCCACAAGCACAGCATTTTCTCACCCCAGTGAAATTTGTGTTCATCTGTCTGCTTTAATGTTATTTGTGATGACTGTTGTTTTTTTATCTCCTGAGAAGAACAGATGTAGAAATTTCTTTTGCATGTACCAACAAATGAATCTTATAGACATCCCAGAAAGTCTGTAAACAGAGATACAGAGGGTCACACTCCAGAATATTCCACATTCATGTTTGCACGTACACGTCATGTAAAACACTCAGCTCCTCAGTACAACCTCCCTTAATAACATTTTTCAGAAGGTTCTTGCAGTTAAAGCAAGTGAATTTGTTTGTAACATATCTTTCAGTATTTTTCAGCCCAGGAAAAAAGAAAGCCTAGAGCAAATCCACACTCCTTGTCTTTCTTTCTGGAGAAAAACATGCACCATATTTTTGCGCCTTTCTCTCCTTGCTTGTTCAAGAAGGAAGAATAAACATTAATAAACCGAGTACTATGTACCATGCTCAGAGCAATGGCATTTGGGAATTCTGCCGGCAGAAAAGATTTACTTCATGACAAGATACTTTGGAGCATAAATAAGTAGAGTGGAGAAGTGTGGGGGGTGTAGCTGTAACTGCATTTGCGTTATTAGTGTGGGTAAAGTGATACTATCCCTGTCTAGCAGTTTCCTTTTCTGTTGGCCCAAGTGGTTTCCTCCATAGAGTAAAACCTCTGAAAGCAGAAAGAAAATATGGACTGAGCACAATGAAGCAACCATGGTATCTAACTGGTACCTAATTTTGGTGGTCTGTTACATGCAGACATCTTGAAAGTGACGTTTGTGACCATAGGGAATTCCCTGAGTATGAAATTCTCCTGCTACTGCTACAGCAGGCAATGCATGGGTGGCCAAAAGTATCTTGCCCTCCCCACCCTAACCTGCTTCTCATCGTTTCAGTTCCTATCCACCCAACTTGTGCAGAACTCTAAGACATGAACAGGATTTCCAACCAAGAAGGAATTTCATTTTTGTATTCCTTTTAGAATAATAATCTTTATTTTATTTGAGTTCTTGTTACAGCATCCGCTGGTTGCTTACACTAGAGAGGATTCAACTAATCCTGTGTTTCAGCAACAGAAGATTATTTTGTCCTCTTGCCTAACCTCCAGATTGCAGTAAGTGCATCATTCTTTTGGCTAAGAACTGAGCAACACTGTACATTGAACTTAGGAGATAATGAGACCATGATTTAAATTGACTAATTCCTATACTTTCTAAGGAACTGCAGGAGTCCTACAGCATTCAGTACTGCAAAAGTTAAGTATGCCATAAAAACCAATGTATTGAGACAATTTGTTGGTACCAATAATCTGGGATTTGATGATGTTCACATTTAAATTCATTCTGGAGTGTTTTCCTCCATACGCAGCAGAGGCTTGTGTGAAACATTGCAAGGGGAAAGTATGCATCACCTTCAGAAAAGATGCTTTAACCCTTTTCTGCCCCCAACACAATAACGTGAAATTGTGTCTCTTGAAAGACAAAAGGGGTGTTTCCAAATTCCTCTGCACCACCCTGCTCTCAGGAGGTGGGGACTGAAATTCTTGAGAAGGAGCATGTGCAAACAGTTGCTAAAACAGGAACAAGATGTATAGTTTACAACGCTGCAGTCTGAATGGAAAGGGAAACCGTAGCAAAACATTCCTGAGGCTTAGTTTTTCCCATCTGAGTTTTTGCACCTCCACAGAAGCTTCTCATTTCCAGTATGCAAGTCTGTCCTTCCCTTCAAAAGGAGGGATAAATGTCCTGCAGTTTCTGTCCTAGTAATGTGAGAAATGAATTTGGAATGGAAAGAACAAGTCCTGCACTAGAGCTAGCCAGTGAGACCTCGCATGGGGACACTGTGCTTGTGTCTGCTTTTGTGCAGTACTTTTCTCAGTGAAGCTGTGGTCTGTCTTCAGGGAATCACCCAACAGCATGTTAGTATTGCTGATATTGTGCCTGGGAGTCCCAGCCATGGACCAAGGTACCAAAACCATATCTTCTGTGAAAATGCATTGCCACCTGATTTCTGCTCCTTTTCCACCTCTCAGACTACTTTGAAGAAAGTCCACTGCAACTGAAATTGGAGGAAAAGGGACAGTGTTAAAGAAAATATCTGACTCAAATACGATGAGGAGACCCTGCGGACTTGGAAAGATAAGAGAGAACAGGGGAGAGACTGAGGCAGATGTTGGGGAGCAACTGCCAGCAAAAGAGAAAAACAGAGGCATAACTGGGAGGAGAAACAAACAAATAAATAAATAAAAGGGGTGATAGAAATACGAAGGGGAGATAGAAAGTGAGGGAGAAAATGCACACATGGTGTCCCCAAGTTTGGGCACAGCAGCAGAGTTTGCTGCTTGTTGTCTCATGAGTACAGCACTCTGGGAAGGACAGTATCTGTTTAGATTTGTGTCTAAATTTAAACTCTGATTGCCTTGCCTCCCCTCCTCTCCTCTCGTCTCCCCTCCCTCCCTTCCTCTCACCCACCCGCCCTTCTTCCTTGTTCGTAGTGCAGGGCCACTCACTGGGCTCTGTCAGTTTTCAAGCTGAGCAGAAGTGTGGATATTACATAGCCTCCACAGCAGCGTGATTTTGCTCTGGCTCTGCTGAAGTTTTCCCACAGATAAGAGAAAAAGGGGTGGGGAAGGAAGATTGCCCTGAGGACACCTCTCTCTAGCAGGACATGGAGGTAAAGAAAACTTTCACTTGCTTGTGGCTTGCTCCTAAATTCTGCATTAGCTGCACCTTGCAAAGCAATTTCTCGCTGAAGGTGGTTCAAAGTGCCTTATTGTCGAGGTTCAGATAAATGTGTCTCCCCTACAATTCCAGCCTCTGCTGTGGACCTCAGAATGTTTTACAGGGTTGAGATTTGGAGGGGGGGGATGGTATGGGGAGAAATTACATCTGTGAAAGGGGAATGAGAAGGACTGCCATTTACTTTAGCAGTTAGTCTCTCAGGTAGGAAAATGAGTTACATTTCAATAGGAATAATTTTCAAATGGGGATTTGAAAATTCAGTAAAATTGCGCATGTAAGGAGAAGTGAACAAACTGTACAGGATTAGTGGACTCCTTGGGTTGATTCCAAGCCAATACATAGAACAGCAGCTGTGATTTAGACCTACTTGTCCCCCCTGTTCCACATGGATCCCGCAGTCTCACTTTCATTACCAGCGGCATTTTGGTTCAGGAAAGCAAACTTGAGAGCTGTTGCTGCGGCAAGGTGAAGGAAAAGTGCAGCAACGGGACAACTGCAGTGCTTTTCTTCACGCTGTGTGCCTTGTGCTTCTAGGGCATAGGAGCTCTCGTCACTTGGCAGGCACACTGCTGATGGACAGGGGTGTGGAAGCAGGAATGAGAGTCCCCTGCCTTTTCAGCCCAAAACCTTCTCTTGTATAGCAGCTTCTTAGGAAGGTAGTTCACTTCTCTTTGCCTCCTTTCCCATTCATATGAAATGGGAGTGACAGTGCTTGCTTTGCTCATGTGAGATTGGATTCACTAGCTTTTCAAACCATTTTCAAGTGGCAGAGGAAAAATTGTGTTTAGGAGGGGCACGGAAGATAGAAATGCGATTACAACATTGGCAAAACCTCAAATGACGAAAGAGGACTTTGGATATTTCTTTCAGCAAAACACAGATCTTACCAAACACTTTATATTAATCTTCTCAGAAACGCCTTTTCTTTGTGCACTGGTGTGGCACCAGCAGTGTGGAGCACGCAACAAAGCCAGGCACCACTGTAATTTTTCTTTGAAGATTTCTAGCACATCGCTCATCTGGGCAGTTCTAATAACGCCCAGGTGTTAACATTGCAGTCCTTGTTATCTGTGCTGGCCTGCCCTGTAGGCAGGGGTTAAAGATCAGGCACGTTCATTACAAGATAAGTCCTCAGCAGACTATCTAAAAAATTTTGGTGTTGAGCAGAACCAAGCACTGCTGAAACCAATGCAGCGTAGATACATGCCATGACAAATGCGGAGCTTTATGAGGGTTTTTAGGTTTGTCAAAACCTGTATCAGTAGCTATTGCTGCTTGCTTAATACTTTTTCACTGTGTAGTATCCTGTCACGTCTCAGAGGGGCTATTGAACTCTTAATTTGTTATCACTGCTCTGCACAGGAAGTAGCATATGGAGCAAAAAATAATTGAGGGCTGAAACAGATATTCTGTCTTGTTGAGCACTCTTTGCCCCATCTCCTGTCCTCTCACCACAGGGGACTGCACCTCTCAATATTTTCTGTCACCTGCTACAGGGGTGTTTTAGAGTTGCAAGGCACGGACCTTTGTTTCCTTTTAGGAGATGTGTCACATTTGCAGTGGGTTCAACAGTCAGGAAGCTTCTCTGAATTATTTAGCCTATGACTTTCATCCTTTTGATTCTGATCCTCTACCTCAATATCTAACTCTTTATTCATGCTATCTTGTTTTCAGATCAGCTGTAGATTTATGTTCTTATTTTTATAACACCTCAACTCCCCAGACACATTTTTAGTAGCGCGGGGGGGCTGTGGGGGGAGGAGGGTCTCCCCTCCTTGCTTCAACCCTCCAAAAACGTGGTTGATGTCCCAAACCTAAGATATTAGACCAAAACAAAGCAAAGAGCAAAGACTAAGGTTCCCACCTGCCAATATTCTATTTCTTCCTGAGAGCTTTTCACACTGAGGCAGTGTATGCAGGACACAGAGGCTCATTACCGTTTATGCTTTAAAAAACATGTAATGGTCATGTGCAACAGGAACTAGAAGTTCTGTCATTTCCCCTTTTGCTTCATCGGCAGCATGCAGAGCTGCTCTGCGCTTTGCTGCTGGCACAACTGGCAAGTGCTTTGCTCTAGTGGGACACATGAGGATTACCAGCATTAGGGAAAGAAGGGCAGAGGGCTGACCTAGACAGATGATTTCCATCACGTCTTTGGCAGGAAGACCCTGTTTTTGAAAAACTTACAGAAGCAAGACAAAAAATGCAGCAAGACCCTGTTCTTGCTAGTTCATATAATTTTGTGGTCTGCTGATGTTTAAGATGTTTTGTTTTTGCAAAGACCCAGCTCCTTGATGCAAGACAGATTTGAGAACTGCTTTTCATTCCAGTGTTAAAGCTGATTAAATGAGCTTGAAATCATGAATCTACCACAAACAGACTGTTAGCTGCAAGAGTCCATAAAGCAGCCACTAAATCTTTGCACCTACAGTAAAAAAAGGATCATGTTGGTTTGTTAGCTTACACTTTTGGAATTGATCCAAGCTGTTTCATTCTCTTAGCTGTATTAAGCCTCACTGAAAATGTTGTGAGTTAGGGCATCCACTGACAGTGCTTGTGGCTTTCTGCAGTTCAAATTCTACAGCAGTCATGGCATTCCTCTTTCCTGCCTCTCTGTAGGAGCTTGAGAGCATGGAGACATTTGAACTTCACTCACAAAACAAGGGGATGCGATCCAAGCCAGAGTTTCACTTTGGTGGCTCCCCATGGTGCACTGGGTTCCCTTAGTTGTGAAGATGCTGCAAGCAGCTTTATTTCAGGAAGACTACTCTCTCCTTTGTGCCTACCAACAGATTTCATGTCTCTACAATTAACTCCTGCTGGATCTTGATTTTGCCTGTTGTTACATCAGCTAAGCAGAGGAAAGGCTCAGTTCTAAGTAGAGGCTTTGCTCACTTTTTCACTTTCCTACTGTGTAACTTACTAGACATTTCTCCAGTCCCCAGCACTGTGCTTTTCCTACACCACAATGTCCTCATCCGGGACATCTGAGGAGTGGTGGCTCCGCTGCTCTTTTCAGTAGCCTTATCTTTGTTGGGTGAAGATACCATGAAGAGGCCCTGGGACTGCTCTGATCCCTCTAGCTAGGAGCAGAGCTGTCCAGAGAAAATTTGTCTGACTCTGTTCCCCGTCTCACTGGGAGCCTGCAGAAACATCTGTGGGTTCAAATACATCCCCTCACTGAAATCCCTCAGACAGGCGAAGTCAGAAGCCGTTTTTCCTTTTTGCTGTGGTCAACCTAACATCACAACAGAGCACATTTCCAGGTCTAGCATCCCAACTGCATCCCTCCAGCAGCCATGGGGAATGATGCTCCGTCCCAAGATACAAGGGAGCTATCCTTCTACAGAGCTGCTTACCATGACCTAGGAAAACTGCACAAAGTGTGCATCATCTGTCCTGTGAGAGGATTGAAGTGGAGGGAATGAAGAATGTGTAGCCAAGAGGGCTGAAATTTGTGTCCCTTATGGCTCCCCAGAGCAGTAGAACAGTAAGCCACGTAAAGGTAGACTGAGTTGAGTAACTTCCACTCTTGCAGCCATGGATTCAAGATAAGTATAGGCAGTATTCCATGGCTAGCTCTGCCAGGAAACAATTTCCCTTTCTCAAGAAGCTGTTCTGTTTGGTTTTCAATGCAGAAGTTAAAATCTTCCTTTTCCACTTCTCTTTATTTTCTTTTTGCTTAACAGCAAATGCACTTATCTCCAGTGTTTTCCCCCAGTCTCATAAAAATAACACATTAATGCAGAGAGTCCACATCAATAAAGGGAAGAGTATTTAAATATATTAGGAGAGGTACCATATGACCCTAATTTACTCCTTAGGTCTGGACAAGTTTAGTTTTGCCTGACAGTAAATAGCATGTCTGCAGCAGAGCTGGAAAGGATCAAGTTTGCCAGACTTCCACAGTGTAGTGACTGGATGAAGCCCCCTTTTGATAGACAGGAAGGATCAAAACCAAAGCCCATGGGGGTGCTGTGACCCTGACTTTTACTTGGAGGGGACCCAGGATAAATGATGTGCAGAATCTAATCTTTTCTTGTGCCAGTAGAGAATGAATGATTCTTCTGAACCCTTTCTGTCCTTTACTCCCCATTTTGACTTTTGTGTGGCTGAGTTTTGTCAGTCATGGTGAAAGCTTTTTGGAAAAGCCTTCTTTCCTGTACTCCACAGTCTAATTGGCAGGACATACTACCGTTGAGCAGCATATTATGCATACCTTCTCTATCACATTCCCAAGACTTGCTTAATCTGAAGAACAGGGAAAACATTAGAACTGCTTTACAGATAGCTGCTGTAGGTGTTGCTAGGAAGCTCTGCTGGCTTTCGACTAGGAATTGACCAAGCCCATACAAACTAGGGGAGATTTTCTCCTCTGTTTCCAAGTAGTTGGTTAATAACGCTAGAGGGGTGGATGCTCTTTTTCCTCTACCACAACTCTATAACCTCATTTTGGGATCTGAGATAACAGCTGTAATAGCAGCAAAAAAAAAAAGCTGTTTGGAGGACCTGTCTATTTTACAGGTGAAGTCCTCTAGTTTCCTGTAGGTGGTATAATACTGCAGAGACACAGTTTATTTTGATGTCTTATGACAATGATATGCCATCAGCATCTTGAAACACAGTGTGGATGAAGACTAATTTGGTCTATAGACAGGAGATCTGTCGTATAAGAAGTTACTTTACAGATTCACTGCACAGTTGCTTCACATTTAGGTCCTGTCAGAGGCCTGGGGCTCCTTGTTCTTACGGTGTTTCATGTAGGTGTTTCACTTCATCCAAACCACTTAAGTATCCAGATATGCTGTCATGCCAGAAATGCTTTTACATTTGCATCAAATCTGAGGCATACCTCTGTGGTATTTTCTCCTCAGTATGTAGGTGTTGGTAATATACTGACAGAGACAAGGCTTATCTGCCCCATTAGTGCAG